CTTTGCTACTCGATCTTTCTTCAGTCCTCGAGTTGAAGTGGCACGGTACTAACGCAACCGTCAATCACCTTTCCCTCGAACTTTGCATGATGCTAACTCGATCATGCAGAATGTTTATATGATGAAGTGTGTGGTTGAAAAATCAATCAATTACGAAAATCACAAGGCACATTTTCATAATTGATATTCAACAAAAACCAAATGAAAATCAGCATGAAAAATATTATTTTCCCGTTAAAAACACATGTTATTCAAACCACAAGATGGCAGCCACTGAAAAGTTAATTTTAGATTCATGCACTGAAGGTAATGTTTTCTCTTTTAAAAACCAAAGTTGCTGCCAATCTTGTTCCCCACAAAAACATGCATATGCGGCTTCCTTTAAAAACACATTCTAATCAAAACCACTATCTGGCAGCCACTTAAAAAAAATAATGTTATATGCTTTTCAAAACACAAAGCTGCTGCCCTTGAATCTTTTAATAAAAACATGCATATATGCCGCACCCTTTTTCCAAGGGTTTGACAACTCTTATATGAGCTTAATGCCTAACCGACTCAAACCGATAAGAATCCAAGCCATATAACCAGATGGCTCTTATCAACATCCAACAGATAAGTCCCAATGCAATTAGACTATTTTGCATGCTTTAAAATCTCGAATATAAAGGAATAAGATATTTTAAAGAGATAAATCACACAATGGTTAAGAGTCCTATATCAAAAACAATAACATGAGATATAGATGAATGTAGTTGGATGTATGCATGCAAACGTACCTGAATATTTATCGCGTGTAGGTAACATCTTTGCATCGAAAGTGTGAGAACCCTTCCTAGACTTAAACTATTACAATTGAAAATGTATAACAAGTCTAAACTATTACAGACTCAGTCATTATGTCAGGGATTGCCAATTTTACCCTAACACGTATGTATACAGGGCAGCATAATTGTTAAAATAACTGAACAGACCTGGAGGGGAAGGGTGATCGAACAACCACAACAAACCCCAGCAAAGAAACACTCTGAAGAAATGCCCTGCACTCAGATAAAAGCTTGATTCCCAAGTCAATCAACACCCGTTGGTGGAAGGCAAGAGCAAAGACAACAATGTTTTCCTCCTACCCAAAATACCCTCTCCAACGGTTCAATAAAGTAAGGGCAAGTTGTGGGCCAACCGCTGTTTGCCGAAAAGGCCGTGCTTCTCAAGCCTGTGCATGTGTTAGCAGCAAGTTGACATCAGCCATTATTTTTTTTCTTTTTTCTGTTAGGTGCGCGCGCGAAGAAGGGAGGGTGGGCTGACAACTACAACAATAGGCCCCGTTGTATTAGAGCATTGATTGCTGTTCAACATCCACATGAAGATTTGAAAGCTTGGCAAGAAGCCATCATAAAAGCGGAAGGAATTTATCGTAGTGGCAATAATTTAGCCAATGTGGTAATATTATTTTATTATTAATAAATTAAGAATGTAATTAATGTTATTATTTGGAACTTTGTTATGTAAATTTTTATGTTGCTTCACAATTTTTTTCAGCAACTATAGACACAAATGTGGTTCAATCTTGATAACAAGAAATCATTCACACCATGAATGTTGGAGCATTGTGAAGCATACTCCGAAGTACAAAGTTCTACCCAGTGGTCCACAAGTTGAGTTGAACAAGACTCCATTGCACAAGCTAACAACTGAAGAGTCACCGTTGGAGACGCCATTAGAGACCCAAGAAATCCCGAGGCCTGTTGGTAAGAAGGTTGTTAAGAAAATAGCTGCAAGAGGGAGTTTTTCGAATAATGATATTCAAAGTTAGTTGAAGATATGGAGCAAGAAAGGTTATCTTATGAGGAAACAAAACTAGAGATGAAGCAAATGCCAGAGAAAGTGAGTTAAATAGGCAAGAAAGGCAAGAGGAGAAGGATCGTGATATCATGTCCCAACGCCTCAGTAATATGTCTCCTAATTCAAAACTTAATTGGAAAAGCAAAAAAACTGCATCATGAGAATAAGGTTTTCTGCAGAAGATGAGGAAGTTCCATACGTTAATGCTTTTAAGAATAAGATTGTTTCAATTTTGTAGTTGGTTGTATTATTAAGGGAGTTTTTCGCCTTTTTTCTACAATTAATTATGTTTGTTGTAATGTTATTTTTTTGTCTTGTGTTTGAAATATTTTATTAGACAAGAACTATTCATAATGAATGGCAAGGGTAACTTACATACCCTTGCTCTTATCCTCTACTAACGAGTGGAGATGCTCTTAAGTTTACCCTTGCTCTTACCCTCTATTAACGAGTGGAGATGCTCTTAAGTTCTAATAGGGGAAGCCAAGGTGGGGGGCAATGGATGCAATTGAACCCAACAATCTTATTTTTACTTACTATTTATCACTTTCGACCCTAAATGTATTTTAAAAAGAATAGAGAGATTCATGTTCAGTTGATATTTTCTTGTAAGTAATCAAATTTTCATCAAATATTGAAATTGACTAGGATCAAGACAGACGTATATGTAACATGCGCATTCGATTAATGAAGTAAAAACATGTGGTTTAAGATCATGTGATTGTTTTTTGCTTAGAGAAAGAGAGTGCACCGCTAGAAACTTTTGCTCGGAATATATTGGACTTGGGTTATATTTAACATAATATGAAACTGAAATTATGAAACATCATGGGTAATTGAATGTACAGCTACTAACAAAATATGAGAACTTCTTTATCATGCTGTTGAGCTAAATCTTGGCTCCGCCGCAGCTTGGTTCGATTCTTAACAAATTCTAAGAGGGTCAGCACTAAAACACTTGTCTAACACCATTTTGAGGCATATTTGTGTCACTATGATTTTTCTTAATGAACTCTAAAAGTGATGAGCTCTAAACATTGGTTTTGATTTTTGGTTTTTTTTTTTAACAAACAATATTATCTACACTAATAGGGTGGAGAGTGGGCTAAGCTTTATACTAGGCTAGCCATAATAGGTGGTACGGTGGATACAAATTTCCGCTTTCTTCTTCTTAGATGAAAATGCATGTCACATCCCGGCCTGGGCCGGATCACTTCCCGAGCCCGCTCCACCACCGTAGCACGATATTGTCCGCTTTGGGCTTACCATTCCCTCACGGTTTTGTTTTTGGGAACTCACGAGCAACTTCCCAGTGGGTCACCCATCATGGGATTGCTCTAGCCCTCTTCTCGCTTAACTTCGGAGTTCCTACGGAACCCGAAGCCAGTGAGCTCCCAAAAGGCCTCGTGCTAGGTAGAGATGGGAATATACATTGAAGGATCACTCCCCTGGGCGATGTGAGATGTCACAATGCACCTGCAAAACATTTAACACCTTAGGTCATGGTCAAGAGCCTCATGCACCCATGATGAATGGGGGGCTTTGGCCGAATAACCTCCAATGCCAAAATTAGAATTTGAGAGAGAGTATTTAGAGAAATTTGGAGAATTTTAAAAGAGAATTGGACTTAGGTTTTGGAGAAAATGAGTGGCTATATATAGGGGTGTGGCCGGCCCTATTTGGAGAAATAGGGACCGGCCACTTATGGTGGTGATTTGAGTGTAATTGCACAATTAATCAATTAATTGGATAATTAATCCTAATTTGAAAAGAATAATTAGGGGTTACCTTGTGAGGAGGATTTGATGAAGATTGATGAAATAGGTTTTGAATAAATACCCTTTTGATCACCTTCGACCTTGATTGAGCCATTATTATTCGTTGCATGCACGCGGGAATCCTGGTGTGCCTCAAGGGTAATCTTATTTTTTTCACCCAAAAGTTCACCTGTTGCCTCCATATTTTTCTTGATTATTTGTTGCTTTGCAGGTACGAATTCGCAATTGGTGAAAATCGAACCTAAGACCTCTCACTTACAAATAAAGAAAAATATCATCAGATCATAGTACTAAATGGCAACACACTTGTCTTGATTTAACATCATCATGGGATTTTTCTTAATAAACTCTAAAGGGGTCAGCTCTAAGACACTTGCCTTGATTTAACACCCGAGTCGTGAGATATCTTCGTGCCACCAAAATTATGCCTTGTTTCTTGCTTTGTGTATAGTGACTTGCTCAAGAGGAGGATGTGATTTATTATCCAAAGAAGAATATTCAGAAACAATAATACTGTATCATGTTCCAACTGCATGACAATGACTTTAATGAATAGTCGGATCATTCATGTTCTTGTGGAAGTATACGGTTGCCTCACACTTTCTTCATGATTGTCGGATGATTCATGTTCTTGTGACAGTTATGGTTGCCTCACACTCCGTTCATGATTGGTTTCATTGCTCAACTTTTCTCGAAAGTATTATGGTTAGATCGCACATGTCATTTAAAAGAGAAAGTGACTCATGTTTTTTAACCAATGTTTTGTATCGCATTTTACCTTTACTGTCAAATCGGTTAAGAATTCGTTTAAATTGTTGGCACGGCACAAAGTACTTGATATGGGTTTGCCATTTGCGTTAATAGATTCTGACTTCCACCGTCACAACATTATCTGGTGTTACTAATCAATGATGTCATAATATAAGTAAATGAAACAATGTGATAATTCATGAAGCTAAGATATGACATTAATAAATAGATACATATAGTATAATTTATAGAGAATTTTAACGAAAAGCTCCTGGTACTGCTCACTTTAACGAAAAATCATATTTTTACATTAAAAATCAATCATGATACTATTTATTTTATCCTTTATTTTGTTCTTATAGTTAAAATTCAAAATTTTCAATCATTTTTTATTAGTTTTCCTTAATTTATAACGTGCGCAGATTGAGAGAATCACAATCAACCTGAGAAGTTATTCGTTTGCACGGCCCAACACGGTTACGAGCCCAGGAACCCGGAATGGAATGGACGGTGCCACCCTTTGAGGGGGATTTGGCGCGCAGCAGATAAGAATACAGATGCCAAAACACGTGCGAAATTTGGCGAATGCCAAAAGGTGGTTGGCTTTATTTTACAAAACAACTTAATAGATGACGACGGTGATTCCGTCAATGACAACAGCAGTCAGCTAATACTTACAGATATACTTGCCGATTTACTTTCTTCTTCCCCAATTGAAAAGCCCGTCTCTTTCCAAAACTCTGCGAAGTTTCTCCGACCTCGTGGCTCAAAAGTCCAAACCCATCACGATCTCCCCATACCCTTGCTGGGTTTTCTCTTTCAGCTCTCTGAGTTACCAATTTCCTGTCAAAGTTGAGATTTTTACTTTTTTTTTTCCTACTATTTTTCTTTTTATTTTTAATTTAATTCATCTTCCTTATGGACTAAGTATTGTGTGCGTCATTGACTTGTACCTAGTTGGATTCATTCATTACTTGGAGAATTCTAGTGGTGCAGGAAATGATTATCTCCGTCACAATTTCTAGAGAATCTTTTGAATTATTAATTTTTTTACTTCCAAGGGTTCTGTAATCATGATGTTGCAGCTTTTTCTCTTTTAATATTTTCCCAACCGGGTAGCTTTTGGTTTGGTGAATTCTTTACACCCAACTCAGCAAAATATTCTCAGATGATTTGGTTTGGTAAATTCGTTGTGCCCAAATCAGCAGACTTTATGATTCTTCAACAATTCTGTGAAATCCCAAAATTTTGATTACTTTGAAGGGGGATGTCTTTTGCTTGCCAAGAAGTTCAGCCATGGACCCTTGCTGGTCTTATACGAGCTTTTCTTGACCTGGGTTTGGCGTATTTCCTGCTGTGTGTGTCTGCTTTCATGTTTTTCGCTTCGAAGTGGTTGAGGATTTTTTGGGTTTATTTGCCCTGTCCTTGTAATGGGGTTTTCGGGTATCGAAACCGTGATCTTTGCTTGCATAAGTTGCTTATTGACGGGCCTGTTGGGACGATCCACGATGTTCACAAGCTGGTGAAGAGCAGGTTCCCTTTTGATGTTATTTGGTCTCCGGATCAAAGATGCAACTTGAATAGGAAACTGATCAGAGATGTGAATTGTGAGAATGGAGTCCATGAGTTGGAAGGTGAAGCGGATTCTAGTCCGTTTTCGAGTCCAAGATTGCAAAACCTGGTTGATAGGGAAAGTGGGTATGATGCTAAGGGGAAGAGGGTAATGACTCTCAAGAAAAGGGCTGGAATTCGGCGTTCTAGGAGAGCGGCTCCTGAATACGGAAGGCTTTCTTCTTACTATCCAAGCGATAGTTCAAGGTTGGTTGCTCGCATATTCCCCTTTCCTTGCGATGACAGAAATACAAGGGAGATGTCGGGTGAAAGCTCAGTTGCCATAGCTGGTAGAGAAGGTGAGTGAGGAATATCTAAACTTGTTTGGTTGTTTTCAGTACTTAATTTCATGTTTTTTGTATTAGAGGAACTTGTTTTCTTTAATGTGTGGATTTATATATCTATTAGAATGTAGTGTGAATCAAATTTATCGCAATTTTAGTTTCGAAAATCTTTTAAAACTAGAATTGGTTGCATATGAACTTGTTGTTTTACTGTATTGGTAATGATGTTTGCTCACTTTTGCGGATTTCTTTCATTTTAGATTATGTGAAAGTATCAACTGGAGATGATGTGGCTGAAAGTATGTGCCAAAATTCTGAATTGAGTGGATTATTTGGTGCGAGTAAGGACGTGGATGTTAGTAACACACAAGAAAAGGCTCCCGTTGTTGGAAATGAAACTGATAAACTCAGGGTGTTGGAAGAAGCACTGGAAAAAGAGAAAGCTGCTTGTGCTACTCTTTATCTAGAGCTAGAGAAAGAGCGAGCTGCTGCTGCAAGTGCTGCTGATGAAGCGATGGCCATGATAGCCCGTCTGCAAAAGGATAAAGCATCCATAGAAATGGAAGTGAGGCAGTACCAAAGGATGATCGAAGAAAAATTTGTTTATGATGAAGAGGAGATGGATGCTCTGAAAGAGATTCTTCTTAGGAGGGAGATGGAGAACCATTTTTTGGAGAAGGAAGTTGAATCGTATAGGCAGATGAGCATCTTAGGAAATGAACGGTCTGATGCTGCTTTGAGTGATATGTTGTGTGAACCGGGAAAAATGCCTTCACCTTCATTTGATCCAAATGCAGATGCACAACTGATGCTAAAGCAGACTGCTGATGGTAAATCCAACTGTATGGCAATCGAAAATATTGCAAATAGTACTTCTCAGTATGAGGCTTCATTTGTTGAAAAACAAATCCATCCTAATGAACATGATTCACTTGAGAAATGTGTACTTTCAGAAAGGGGAGAAAAAGTACACATGGATAATGTAATGTGCCAAGAAATGACTACTGAAGCAGCCCAAGCTCATATTGGTACCGAGGAAAACTTACATTGTGATGAAGAAGTGCCACAGAGTGATGGGGATCTTCAGAGAATGCTTGATATTGAGCCAGCTGTTTATGATGTTCATGTCGTTGATGGTAAAACTGAACTTTGGAAAGAAGAAAGTAGATCATCACTTTATACTGCATTGGATGGATCCCAAGATTTCGCTCATACATTTGACGCTGCCGGGGTCAGTAGCAGTGAGTTATTACAAGGTTTTCCAAGTACAAGCCAGGTGGATACTGAACCATTCATTCCAAGTTCTTTGGATATGCATTGTGGGTTACCGATGTTGGATAGCTCCCGATGCAAAACCTTGGTGATAGACTCAATGAAGAACTCATTGTCCACAGTAAATAGTGAAAGGTCGAAGATTGACAATGAGGTTGAATTGCTAATGGAAAAGCTACAGATTCTAGAAGAGAGAAAAGAGAAGTTGACTTCCTCTTCTGAACATGGGGAGAGGCAAAAAACCCCATCAAAATGTTTGGAGGAGATCGGAACCCACGCTGCAAGATTCAGCAGATAAGAGATCCTGCGTGCCAGGCTTCTTTACCTCCTTTGTCTTCTAAGGTGAATCCTTGTACTTCCTAATTGCATTTTTACATTGTTACAACTTCTTATTGCATATTTTTGTGAAAATCATCCATGTCTTGTGCTGCAAAGATCATTATTTGTACTGTAACTTTGATTTCTTCATCGCGGAAGCAACATGGTTTGCTTCTATTCTACCCTTACTAACATATACAAAGATAGAATCACCACCTGTCAAAAATTGAACGATGCAACGATGCAGTGGAGTCATTAGACCTGAGACAAAACCAATGAATGCTTACCACTTTATTGTGGGGAGGAGGGATTTTAATTATAACACTAACACTCACAAGCGCAAACGAGAACTCACAGAGAAACATGAAAGAAGGGAAGTACAGAAAGGACCATGTTATAGGCTTATATAACGATAATGCTTTCATTTCCATTGCTATGTTCTCCGAATGACAACGTAATTTTCTCACTTTCAGGTAAGTTCGAAAAAAAGAAGCTGCCAAAGTACGTCCTCGGAGGCACTCGAAGCTACAAGTACCTAAAGCATGTAAGATTGTACGCTAATTCCCGGATTAATATCGGAATGTTGGTGCTTCGAGTCCTTTTATATTTGATCTATGGTCGGAAGGAGTCTGTCAGTGAGTTGTATATTCCCACTATACTCGTTAGTTAGATTGTAGCGGTCAGTTGCCTGCTCTAGATAACTTCTGTGTTTTGTGTATTAAATTTTGAATTTAGAAAACAAAACAAAAAGGGTTCACAGCCATGTTCCTCCAGTGATCTGTCCCACCTTCTTTTTCCTTTGGCAAATGATGGAGAAAAAAAAAATGTCCCCCAAATCTTAGCCCATGGTCCAAAGGCTTATGGGCTTGAAGGTTGATGCAACGATTGTACCTTTAGTTTCTCATGTTCTTCTCATTTTTCTCATTTCATTTTCATCTTAATTTTCAATTTCGCTAAAGTTCCGACTAACGGTATCTTTCTTTATTCGGAGAAATTTTCGGAGGCTTGTAAATCAAGTGGTAGAAAATACTTAATCTACGTTCATGCTCAGAGTTCGAGTCTCGTCTTTCCCAATAGTTGGACCCGTGATAAATCGAAGTATTTGTAAAGAAACGAATGTAGACAAAGTTTGACAATCCAAATGGACAACTCCTTCTGGATAGGTGAGGGATGATGAAACAATGAAGATCGAGTCTCACATGGGTTGCCACCCTTGATTCCTTGACTTGACTCAAACTAGGTGAAAACAAAATGAAACAGAATCTTCGGAGCAATGATCCTGTTAAAGAACGTGCTTTTTTCGCAGGCAACTTGGGTTTCAATGAGAGTATTTTTCATAACAAAAAATTGGGGAGAGGGGAAGCAAACAACCCTCGGGTGCAGCAACAGAATTCTTAGCCACTTGAGCTACATGTTCATTGGAGTTTCGAGATATTAGGTATAGATAATTGGAGTAATAGTTCATGAACTTCAATATGAACTTTGGTCTTTAAACTAAAACTCTTGAGTATTAGTCTCTGAACTTGTTATATTATGGAGTAACGGTCATTTTGAATAATTCTATTAGAACTTTCACTCAGTTTTCTGCTCTTTAAACCTCTTATCTTGAGTGAAATTTTCAACGGTGTTAAAATTAGTCTAAAAGACTATTGTATTATGATAAGTTTAAGGATCATAACTCTAATTGACCAAATTTTAGGAATCATTGTTCTAATTTTCTCTTAACAAGGAGAAAGATGAAAGATAAAAAATATGACAAATGTGATACGACCTAATTTGGTATCCAAACAAAAGATTTATAAATTAGAAAATTTTGGCACCCTTTGGTGTCGCATGCACGGCCTCCTTTGGTTTCCACCCATGAAACTAGCGTGGCATTGTACTCCTTGTCTCCATGTACCATGTGACATCAACCTTATTAGGTCATTTAATTTTTTTATGCGTTAGGTATTTTTCAAGATATAATAATTTACATCCAGAACTATTTGTGACCTCTCTCATTTATTGACATCTGACCATTTATTTAATCTTCTCAATAAAACAAATCAAAAACTAAAGATAAGTTAAATAAAAAGAATATGTATAACTTAAATAGATAGGTCATAAAGAGATCATAAAAAATTTCGAGTACAGATGATATAAACTCATGTGACGAATGTTAAACTAGTAAAAAAAAAAGGAGTTTCTTTTGTTAAAAAAAGAAAGAGAGTTTCTAGAATTTCAAAAGTGGAAAGGCTACGCATATGATACTTTCTTTATTAACCCGACAAACGAAAGCTAACTTTTTTTAATTCAAAAGGTGCAATCTTTGTATTCTTAGTAGATGTTGGACTATAAGATGATGAGTGATAAAATTGATAATTCCACAAATCATCAAGTACGTGTATCACAATCACTCTAATGAGTTGAAATTGGGAACACTTGGTTGAGATTATCATCCTTAATGCTTGTGAATTAGTAATAGTGGTATATGGAAAGAAGCTCATCTTGCCGTGACTTTTTCCTTAATTCTCAAAATTTCTATCCCTCCATCTCTGCAGGGGCAGAAAACCCATCGATGTCTTGGTTGTGGTAGTGTACGGAAAACCTAAAAGAAGAAAAGTAAACTTAATATAAGTCTAATTTTGTGAGTCATTATTGGGTTTAGTTCACTTTGTTGGGTTACGCCCATTCATTGATTATCCACATTAGCTTTTTTTAATTGCAATAAATGTCGTCCCTTATTTATAGATTTATCTTTTACACAATTTTAGAATTAAATATTGTTTCTCAATTTTTTATTTCTACCTCCATCATAAGTTAATCGTGTTAACTAATCTATGTTTTTGGTACTATATATATCAACCTATATGGTATCGATTTATAAGTGTATGGAAGATGAAATATCTTTGAACTATTTTCATGGATGATAGGTAGATTAATTTGTATTTATTTTTCATAGATACCTCTGTCACAGGTTAAATGTATGGCATGTGAATTTTTTTTTAATTATTTCCATGAAAGTGGTTACATTTTCATATTAAAATATTTAAATTAAAACTTTGAGTAAAGATGCATAAATCAAGAAATTAAATTTAATTATTAAAGTTGAAAAAAATAAGAAAACTGGACTAATTCCAACAACAATTAAATTTTTTGCAAATTTAGTTTAAAAAATTTAGTCTTACTAGCATTATCCAACAAATAATATTTCCTCAATCATAACCGCTCATAGCCCGTATTATCGAGTAGTTTGAATTATTGTAGAAAAATTGCATTATTAAACAAAAAGGCGAATAAAATTGAACAAAGATGCAAATTGTCGTGAAAGTGAAGTTATAAAATATTTAAAAAAAAATGTGACTGAAATTGTAATGACGTAAAAGTACAAGTAAGCATTTACAAATATTCCATGAAAACAGAATCAAATTTGCATAAAAGGAACTTTATTACGCAAATGACCGAACAAAAAAGTTGAGAGTTGAGAGGGTGGTGTGCGTTGTGGGTAGGCAATGGAGGCCGACCTTGCCTTTGTTCCCGCCCCAACCCCCAAAGCGTCGCATCTGATTCTCTCGAATCAGCATCCAATTTTGAAGAAACTGAGAGCACCGACGCCTCTCCACGTGTCACGTATCACTTGGACGATGACGTGGCTCCCACACAAATACTTCACGCCGACGCCGAAACTCCGCCTCCTCACGCGTAGCGTAAACTCTACAGCATCTAATCACACCCGCATACTCCGTCTCCCGTTAACAAACGGCGCCAACAAACAATAAATTAAAAAGGGTAGATTCAAGTAAATAAAGGTTTCTTTATGGCCAAATATAAAATAAATTTTAAACAATGTTTTTAGTTTTTTAGTTTTTTTTTTTTTTTTTGTTAGTGCATCAATATTTTTACACTCGGGGAAGGGAGAGTTCGGCTAAGCCACACAATGGGCAAACTAATTTGGTATCGAATTCTCCATCCACAAGATTCGAACCTAAGACCTCTCACTTCCAAGTAAAGATGAATACCACCAGGCCGTAGTATTGAGTGTTTTTTTTTATTGAATAAGATACTTTAAACTTCTTCTGTCATGTGATAAATTTGTTATATTAAATGTTAGATTAGAGAGCATATGAGGTTCAAACCCGCACCTAGTGCAAGAGCAACACTCATCTCCACCACTTTAATAGTAAGATAGTGCATAAGACCGTCTTCAAATGAGATATCAAAGTTTAAACACAAAATTTAAATTTGAAAGCTTATGTGGCACATTGATATTTTTATAAATTTTGTTCTCCAACCGATATTTCAAATTTAAACTATTATTTATTATGTTATTTACTTTTTATAGTTGTAATTAGTATTTGAAAAAAAAAAGATAAGTATAAAAATTATGAAAAGCATTTATTAATTACTAAAAATATATTTGAAGCTGCTGTCAAATTTGACAACAACTTCCTCTGTTGCCTTTCCATGTCATGCCACATAGGAATTAACATTTCGGTTGGAAAACACTAGTGATGTCTTTTATTACCATTATTGCTGATGTGAACTTTTTGACATCTTCTTTGGAGATGTTTTAAGATATTAAAATCTATCTAAAATCAAACATGAATATCATAAACTAAAGTTACGTTTTAATTAAAAGACACGCTAATCGATTAACATCAGGCGCATAAAACAAAACAAGGAAGTCTTACAAATATCATTGCAACTAACTTCCAAGAGAGAAGACATCAAGTTAAGTTATGAAGGCTGATGATGTGGATCTCAATAAAAAATCTTTTTGGAAGAAAATCACTTGGAACAAAACTTCATGACAAGAAAAAAAGAGCGCCACGCAATTTTTATGTTCAACATGAACCAACCTTAACATTGCCTTTCACCACCGCTATCACCTCCATGACAGTGGCGCTATTAACGAAATCCTCAATGTCAATTCCAAATCTCAGCAAATTATTAAGAGACCTTGAACATTAATCCGAACTTCAAAATCCAAGACATCTTGAATAAAGTCTATAAAATCTCTGGAAAAAAAGCTACACCAAAGAAAGAAACTAAGTAAATAGAAAGGAAATTGCTCTAAACAAGTACTACTTGATACTCAATCATCAAAAGAATGTAAAACAACAAATGACACACCCCGATCGAGATCAGGGCATGCTGGCCATCACGTGGAAGTGACGTAACCATGTGCACAGTGCGGAAGCTAATAAAATAGTAATGTGAAAAGTACGAATAAATAAAACTAGCATACATAAGGTAATGGAAATAAGTGCTAGCGTAAGTGAGACACAAGTTCAGAGCAACGCCTAAGGCAGTCCAAACTAAAATGACACGACAACAGTACACCCGAAGGTGGCCCTACGCTGGTGATCGTCTGTCAGAAATGCCGGGAAAGCTCTCTGAGAAACCACCAAACCTGCTAGATAGCTAGAACCTAGAAGGGCGCAAAACAAAAGCGTGAGTGGGCAAAAACAAAGCTTTTCGAAAACCATTTAACAAATAAATTCTAACCCCTCGCCGTAAAACCTATATACTTCCCAGAAAATAAACATATGTACATATATATATATATATGTATATATATATAAATATATCAATCATACTTCAGGATATGCCATGCCAAATCTCACAATGAAATGCAAGTGCTCAGCTGAAAATCATATCAATATCATATAGTCTGGCAGCCGGAGTCACCTAACGTGACCTGTACGGCTGCGTCTAGAGCTCAAATCTCAATCTCAATAACTAAACCTGCCCACGAGTCGGAACCACCTAAAGTGGTCTGTACGACAGGCCT